CAGTTACCCAAACTGTGGTACAAGACTTTATCCGCATTTATTAAGGAGGTTTAGATGTGACCTTGAAATATGAATGGTTGGTTTTCAGAAGAAAAGAAAGAAATATGAATGGTTGGAAAGTTTGGGTAAAATGAGATCTTACTTTATCAAGGACTGTCATGTCATTAAAGGCATTGATGAAATAATTGCAAAATGAGATTAAAGCATACTATGTTGAATTGGGCATGCTAAATATGAGAAAAATTTGGGGCATCGGGAGTACCGATTTTGGTGCATTCTTTTATTAAAAATGAAAATATTTTTCAATTTAAAAAGAAATATAAAAATAAACATGGATAAAAAAAGAATTTTTTCCCCTTTTTAATAAAAAAGAACACGGTGAACTAAAATTTTTCTCATTGAATACGGCGATTCATGTTCAATAGAAAAGATTGGAGGGAATCAAGAGAAATACCATGAATTGCTCAAAGAAACTACAAGAGAACATGCCCTTAGTCTTAAAAGAATATCTAACATTAGGCCACATCGCCACCATATTTGGAGGTGCGTGTAAGAGGTATGCATGAGTTAACTTGAATCAAATTTTTAAAAAAATCGAATCAAATTAGTTTAAACGGTTCGGTTTGAAAAAGTTCGGTTTAGTTCAAAATCAATTCGATTCGAAACTAAATCAGTTCGATTCGAAAATGGTTCGGTTTGGTTAAAAACGGTTCGATTTGATTCAGATGCAGTTTGGGTCAATCCTATTCTAAAAAGGAAAAAAATTAAAAAAATTAAAGAAATAAAGTAATAAAAATCGTTTCGATTTGGTTTGAAAACGGTTCGATTCGAAAATGGTTGAGTTCTTGAACTCGTTTTAAAAATCAGTTCAGTTCATGAACTAGTTCTTTAAAATTTGATTCGGTTCATTAACTGGTTTTTAAAAACTGGTTATTTTAAGTACAGTTCAGTTCGATTCACGGTTCAGTTCAACTTTTTGGTTATTTTACACATTCCTAATGCATGCAAGCTTGTTTACACATCACTTAATCATCATCGCTAATATATATATATATATATATATATATATATACATATATATATATATAAATAAATATATGGGGTTTACATTTCTGCCGCGGCTGTACGTGCAGCAATCAAATACTTGTCATATATATACTTGAAAGCATTAAATGCGGAGAATCATAACCATGCAAAGGATGAAAACATTAATCGTAGGAAATCATAATCATACAAAGGATGAAAGCATTAATTGTGGGGAATCATAATCATACACCTGTCGTTGTTGTACCTAAAGCGGCTACAAAAATAATTTTCCCTATATATATATATATATAGGGATATATTTTTCTTATGTTGTAGGAAAAAAGTTACCTCATGTTGTAAAAATAAAAGTATAAGTGGGATCCACAGGTAAGAGGAGAGAGAAAAAAGAGTGGTGAGACCCAACCTCTTTTTGTGTGTGTAGAAAAGTTGTTTATCTTATGTAAAATGAGATAAACATAACCCATATATATATATATATATATATATATATATATATATATATATATACATGATGAAGGTTATATTTACAACCTATTTTCAATGAGATAAACATAACCCATATATATATATATATATGGGATAGGATATTGTGACACCCAAGTTATGTTACACCCATGGGACACCCAGTCAATCTCACTGTTAGATCGCTTATGTTGATCCAACGGTTATATTTATTTCCATCTTTGTATGGTCATGATTTCCCAAATTTAAAGTGAAAGCATTAAATATAGAAAATCATAACCATACAAAGGTAGAAATAAATATCAAATATTAAATTTGGTAAATCATGACCATACAAAGATGGAAATAAATATAACCGTTGGATCAACATAAGCGATCTAACGATGAGATTGACTGGGTGTCACATGGGCGTAACATAACTTGGGTGTCACAATATCCTATCCCTATATATATATATATATATATATATATATATATATACATGATGAAGGTTATATTTACAACCTATTTTCATTTACAACTTCTTACAACCATATCTTAACCGTTGATTTCCGTCAATCAACGGTTAAGATTTTCGTAAATCAAATTTATTAATTAATTATTAATTCACAATAAATGACAACCGTTGATTGACGAAAATCAACGGTTAAGATATGGTTGTAAGAGTTTGTAAACTATTTAGGTTGTAAATATAACCCCTCCATATATATATATATATATATATATATATATATATATATATATATATATATATATCTTTTTGAGTCAAATTTGATTTATAAGTCACCGAATGTTCATTCAAAATAAAATGTATCAATAATTAATTCAACATGAATTTATTTTATATAAGCGTTTTAACATTTAGTGCATAAATTTTATATTAATAATTTTCCATAACATTTATTTACTTAAACAATTATTTAATAATATTTGAAATAACTCAGTTATGTAATTATTGAAAAATGACAGGAGAATGTAATTTATTTATGATTTTATGAAAAATATATTATTATATAACACGTATTTTTTTTTAAAATATTGCAGTGCTTTATTCTTAAAATATATCGATTTAGAGAAAAAAAATTAAAATTATAAAAAATCTGAAGAGAAAATATTGTAGAAAATGTAAAAGAAAAAAAATTGGACTTTAAATTCACTTAAAACTAATTATAGAAATAAATAAAATAACAGTGTTGAAAAAAAGCTAATCGCCCAAGCTGGAGTAATGTATTGTGCAATGCATAAAGAATCACCTAATTACTTTTTATAAAGTTTTGTAAAAAAACTTGCGAAAAAAAAAAAAAACAGATTAAATGAAGGGTTTTATAAGAGTTATGTTGTAGGAAAAGTGATTCTGAAAGTTATAGGGATTCGTTTTGCGTGTTTAGTTTTTTTTTTTTTTTTTTGCTTTAGAAAGTGTGGGCCCCACAAAATGTTGTGTGTATAAGAAAATTGTTGGTGTCATGTGATATGATAGATATAAATCCCTTAAATGAAACAGATATACAGTTAATAAAATACTGGTATATGCCAATTTCTTATGAAATAAGTTAAACAGTTAATTGAAAACACTTCTAAACGCTAAGTGTGTTGTAACAAAATAAATAGAATTTCTGTAACACATAAGTTCTTTCTAGTTTTTTTTTTTTGGTTAAAAAATGTGGTGCAACCTATGCATGACATCTGGTTATCTCGAAACATTATTGGATATATCATATATGTAGTCCATTTCTTAGCTAAATATTTAATTGTTGAAATTTATGCTAATAATCTATTGGTTATGAATAAGAAGTGGGTTAATAAAGAAAAGAGAAAAGAGAAGATGAAGAGATGTGTGGGTATTAACAAGTCCCATATTGGACAAATAGTAAGAAGTGAGAGAGTTTATAGCTCTCACCTTACTCTCGTAAATTGGCCCTTTGGGTCACTACACATTTTGGGGGAGGAGCTAGGTGGGCTTTGCTCCACCACACACGCGCTCGGCTCGACTCGGATCGGTTCAGTTCATATTTGTGTAATAAAAATAATTTTTTTTAAATAATTTTTTTTAATATTTTGTCCAAAAATGTATCTGTTGCTTCCCTCCAAAATTTCGAACCCAAACGTTTCTACCCGCCGGTTTTTTGAGCAATTTTGAACTGAACCAGTTCTTCCCCTTCGCGAACCGATCACTGGCTGTATCTGCTCGCCGAACCGGTCACTAGTTTTACCTATTCGTCGGAACGGTCACCGGTCGCACCCGTTCGCCGCCGTCAGACACGGCAGTTCGCCGTCGGCAACTGTTCATCGTGACCGGTCAGTGTCTATAAATAGACACTGACACATTCAGAAAATGGATCCAATTTTTTCCTGCACTGAAACCCTGCCGGAATTTTTCTCCTTCCGGTTTGCATATTCTGTTCATACTCCGGTGTGATTTCCTCTGGCATTCAGTTGTGTTCGTTTAAGCTGTTGACTGGTAGTGCCGCCACTCTTCAGACGAAATCCGTTCTATCCTGGGAGACAAGTGTCCATCAACCTTTGGCATCAGTGAGGGGGTAAATTGTCTTAAAAAGATACGTTCTGTGGGCTCGAATTTTATTTCTCTGATACTGCATTTTTTCATTCTTCTGATTCTGTCTATTTCATACATATCAAGTAAGTTTGTTTTTAATATTTATAATTGCACAATGATAATTCTGATTATCTACCCCTTCTGTTCTTTACATGGGTCTAAATCTCTTAGTGATATAACATCACCCACTGTCTAAATAACAATCTTAAGACAATTTGATGTTTTGAACCTGTGATCATTACATTCTGTATTTTATTTTATATACTGTTTCTGTTTTATTTACTGTGTGATTAATCTGTGTTATTAATCAGTGTCATAAATTAATCTGTGTAATTAATTTCGGATTCTGTTTGTGTAACAGAAATGGCTAGTGTAAGTGCAAACGCTGCCAATCTTACTGCCTCTGATACTGCATTTTTTCATTCTTCTGATTGTGTCTATTTCATACATATCAAGTAAGTCTGTTTTTAATATTTATAATTGCACAGTGATAATTTTGATTATCTACCCCTTCTGTTCTTTACATGAGTCCAAATCTCTTAGTGATATAACATCACCAACGGTCTTCAATAACATTGATACATAAGGCATCGAATCTAATTAATTTTTTTTTTTAAAACTAAACTCACGCCCCTTGTCTTTTCCCAATTACTCGAACCAATTGAGTCCCCACTCCCAAATTTCTTAACCATAAAACAACCAACCCCCCCCCCCCCCCCCCCCCCCCCCCCCCCCATGCATTTCATAATACTAATGTTTGTTATATCTACAAATTAAAAAAAAAATTAGTAATGTTAGTTATACAAGATTTCTATGCTACTAACATATAAATGACATTAAACTTTCATTTCCGATAATCATGAATGCTGATTATTACAGGTTTAAAGGAAGTGGTCCCACTCACTTGTAAATCTCCACGTTAGTTAGGTCAGTCCACAAATACTTAATATATTCCCCTAATAATGTAAATGCCAAACATTCTCATGTCATGAACATGGTAGGATCAGCTTGATCACCATCTAATACATTTATATCATTAATTACTGATATTACATATCTATTTCTCTTGCTTCTTGCTCTTTCTATTTTTCAATTAAGTTACATCAAATTAAATCTCTAAGAAATATCTTATAGAAATTAGCCATTAACAAGACACATATTTAGAGCATTAACTTATGATGTAGATTTCCTGCTAACACTTCACCACACTTGGAATATCTGCTGTAGACACATTCTTTCATAGTTCCAGCACCACAACTGTTCGTCAAACAAAAAGATGGGAGAAGAAAGAATAAGTCAAAGTATTTAGAATAAAAAAAAAACTCTCAATTAAACCCCGACTAGTAAGAGTAGAATAAGGACAATCCTTACATGCAGTCTTACTTTTACATATTTGCAAAGAGACTGTTTTCCGGATTTAAACCTGTGACTTTTCAATCACCAAAGAGCAGTTTTACCTATGCTCGAGGCTCGTCCTTAGAATAAAAAAAAAAAATGGTGCACAAGCACAAGCTGGCATACATTCAGAGTCTGTTGTGATCCAGTTTCCTTTTCTACAAGTGATGTGGCCAGTTCCTGCAATTTGGTTTTGTCTTGATGAGGAAGCTATTGAGATAGCTGAATAGGAAGAGGAAGTGGTGGAGCAGCTTTCCACATCCCATCTGAAACTGATCTTGGGTGAATCACTGCAAACTTGATCATCATCTGGTACTGCTTTCAGGGTTCCACGTCTTCGGAACATTAAAATCTGATAAGAATTTCATCATCAATTCTCCTTAGAAACTACTAAGCTTAAGAATGAGTATTAGCAAAATCTCAAACATAAGATTACTCAATCTTGTTTTGTGGATTAAATAAAAGCTTGGCTTAGCCAACAACTATTAGTTCAGAGTTTGTTTTCCTTAATCAGATATTTCAAGTTCGAGCCTAAGAATGGAAAAAATGATGTTGAGAAAGTCGCCTCTATATGGGTTCCATAGTGCTCCAATTAGACTAGTTTGGTTTAAAAAATAAAAGGGTGGCTTATTTCCTTCTTTCAATTCTTTTTGCCTAGTTATTGTATGTTAACTTTTTCATCATTATGGCAATTTCATTTGGCTACAATATTGAAACTTGACAATATAAGTGAATTATCTACCTACACACGGTTATGAGTCATGTATCTCATGTGCAGGGTTGAAAAATAATTAAGGGTGATTGAAGAGGTCGAAAATTTACCTTTCTTCCATTGAATTTTCCTACTTTGTCTGTTTTTGCAGAAGCAGCCCATCTAAGTAGCTCTTTCATTCTCGACATAGGCTTTTTTTTATCCCCTTTAATTTGATCCTTAGTTTCTATGGTATCACATTGGACACTTCTTTCAGCTGAGGATGACAATGGTACCTCAGTTATGGGCAAAACCTTGTTTCCTACATGAGCAGCTGAATCTGCCTTGTTAACAATTCCAACTTCTCTGGATGATTCTTCTCTCTTCATCTTTGTAGAGTGCACAAAATGCCTTCTATTAAGGCTTCCAAGTCTCTTTAAGTTGAGGGTGCTATAAAACCAAGAATTTGGAATGTCTTTTCTATATATGAAAGCGAATATCTTTAAATTCTTGCTGCCATGCTTGTTCCATTCGATTTTCTTTGTTCTTTTATATGATCTATCACGCTTTAGTAGACTTATCTCTTTCCCTTTAGCATTTTTTTCTGAAAGAACACCAAAATAAAGATATATTTGCATTAAATTCTTCATTAAAATCAGAAAAGAAGTTATGCCTAGTCAGAAACAAAATAAGAGTTGAGAAACATGTAAGAGTCAATCTTACCATTGATATCTTCCCTTTTGGGTGGAATATTGAAGGTCCTGCTCTTTCTATCTTGATCGTGTTCCCCTCTAAAAAGCCATTGAAGAATCTGCTATTACACACCAAAAGAGCTATTAGCTTTGATGTGAATAATGCATGCTGCGTATTCCACTATATATAATATCATCACATAACAAAGCATACCTGCATGCCTACTGTGGATACTTTGATGTACTATTTTTGTGTGTGTGTGTGTGATGACTGTATTAGTCAAATGAACAGCACTGCAGATCTATCTGTGCTGTCTGTTTGCAAAAGATTCCTGTCTAGTCTTTGAGGCCTTTGGTGAGATGAAGACAAAGAAAATTGTAGTGAATCTAAGGAAGATGGTGAGACAACCAAGCAGTGAGTGGGGAATAGTTGGCTTATGATTCTGAGTAACATGGGGCTTATTATATATAACATGATCAAGTGGTGTATATTAAGACCAAGGACTTAAAATTTAATTAAGAAACAAGATGTTTCAGCCATACACTTGTATATATGTGTCTATGATATATTTGGACCTCAGGTTATGTGGACCACCAATTGGACATTAATATAGTTTCAAATGAAGATGCAGAAATAACTAGAACTAGTGTGGATTTCAATCAATTATTGGAATTTGCATCCAAGATGAGCAATGCTATTCATCTTGCTTCAGTGAAAAGCTACAAACAACAATATGGTAAAAAGAAATGAAGCAGACAATTATTCAATGTCTATAAAATGTTAATAGATTGACTCAATCATTTTGGTAACGAAATCCCAAGTAATGATCTCAATTATGATCTCATTATGTCCTTATCTTTGGAGTTATGCCAAAGTAACATGCCTTTGAAGTCTTAGGGCCTATTAACATGCCAAAAGTAACAATGTAGCATAGAGTAAAACATAGGATGCTCAACTCAAGGGGTGACATAGTTGGTAAATTGGTTGTGCCTGAGAACTATTGTGGCTAAAAGGTCTAAGATTCGATTCCTAGGCCAAATTAATTGGGTACTAGTAACAAAAACTTTCACCCTCGATGCCACGAGAAGAATTAAGAAGTCTTATCCAATTGGGTGAGAACACGGTTAGGAAACAAAATTATAAAATAAAATTGGATGCTCAATCATAAAAAGAAAAATTATACGCTGTCACGGAAATTGATCTAAACAATTAACAAAATATCCTGCAATTAGAGAAAAAGAGAGAGGATAAAATATTATTAAAACTACTGATCCCTTGTTACTTTGATAGATAAAAACATACAAACACAACATCTTACTCAATACTTTATAAAGAAAGTGCCCAATATTTTGGTAGGCACATGGAACTTGAACAGAAACTTAGATTAAGAAATGAAATTTGTCTGCACATGATGCTGCTTCGGGGATATATGAACGAAAAAGTTGATTGAATATGTATAGCAGTTAAGCATGTGGGGCTTGCAGAAGATATTTTAGTAAGCGGTGAATTCTCGTGGGTACAAATTGTGGAACCGTCAATGTCACATGGGTGAGCTAGACATGACAATTTAAAACTGGTATTCTGGAATAATCACATACACTCACTCAATGATCTTGAAACCCCATTTTGTTAATGCTGTTTTTTTTTTTTTTGTTTTTTTTTTTTTTATTGTTCGAGTCTTTGAGGTTCCTTTTGTCCCTTGTATTGGGATCTAATAGGAAGAGGACCCCCTGATGTGTCACTTTTCCAACCTTAGAAACTATGGGCCATAGTATAATTCCAATGAGGAAAGATTAGGGATGGGCGTAAGTAGCGGTAAAATTGGGCCGGGCCAGGCCAGCTTACAGGGGTTTACGGTTCGGCCTACGTCAGGTCAGATTTGACTTAGTATATTTCGTAAAATAGATCGGGTTTGATCTTTGAAAAAGCCTGTTTAATAAAAAGGCTGTAGGTCCACTTTCACAAGATCTAGTCTATAAACCTACAGGCCGGTCTATATTGTACTATTTATTATAAATAAATAAAATAGAATAAGTATGCCTTGAAGAAAAAATAAAAGATATAAATTTAATCAATTGAAATTATTCATAACTTAATTATATTCGATTAATTTTAATAGAAATCTGATTTTATTTCTTATGTAGAAGGAACCAACATCTCAGCATGTTAGATTGTGTATATGAATATATTAAAAGGTTTTTAGGAGAAGTTATACTTACTACAAGAATCATGATATGTTTGTTGGATTCTTGTAGTTATTTTAATTTACATTGTATGAATTTGTTTGTTGGATTTGAAGAAATATACGTTATTTAGTTTGAGCATTTTGCTTTGGAAAATGACTTAAATGCAGATTGTATGGGTTTTGTTGTGATTCATGATTCTGTTTGGACGTTGAAGTTATGATTTTCGGTTTAACAACAGAATTTGAGTATTTTGTAAAGTTGATTTATCGTTCTGCTTAGAAGTTAAAAATTAACAGACTAATGGACTAGGCCAGACCATTTATTTATTATAAACGGGTCAAATCAGACTAACAATTAGACTCTTACTAGGCTTGGGCCAAGCCAAACATGACTATTAGACGGATTCAGGGGGAGCCCTTGGCGGGAACCACCACCAATGAGCTAAATTAGATCAATCATATCAAGTGGGTCCGACCCGATATTTCAACCCAAAATCTTAAGGCATTGAGTTTAGGGTCCTCACATTTATATGCACTTCCCTTACTTCATTACCAACCAAAATTAAGTCAATTTACCCTAACATAAAATGATCCTGACCCAACTTTAGATATTATATTTAACTAAGTTATAAATTTTTAAAAATAAAATAAAAAACTAAAACTAAAGGGTTTTTCATAATAGAGAATTACATCAATACTAAAGTATTAATATATAGGTTTAATGTTTATGCTTTTACTGTAGAAAAATTTATCTGCCATACTCATATAAAAGTGGGTGGGTCTCATTAATCTTTTATATTTCTTCTCTTTATAATGAAACCCACTCACTTTCATATAAGTGTCGCGGAGAAATTTTATTTGTACCAAAAATAAAAATATTTTTCCCTTAACATATTATGTAAAATGTATTCGTTAAAGTAAAGAATTCTTATAATTTATAATTAATTTTCAAAATTTATAAATTTAAAAACACTATATCTCAAATTGAGTTGGGCCAACTTGAACTGCAGCTTAAATCCAACCCAAGATCCAGGGCTTGATTTTTCAAGATCCCAAACCCAATCTATTTAAATTTAAACCAATCCATATAATCGGGATGTAATGGTTCTTAAGCAGTGATGATGGTGGCTACACACAAAGTCATGGTTTAACAATTGTATTCTTTTCTTGATAAATGATAAGACTTAAAGGTGAAAATGAATAATTTTCAAACCTAATAGATGTTTAGATTAGATTGATATTCATATAAAATTAGCCTTTCAACCAAAAGGTCTATTTAGTAATTTTAATTTAAATTCTAAACACAAAATTAAATATTAACACTCAATCCACGTTTACGATTGGACTATTTTGCTTATATTTCAGTTGTATATTTGTATAAATATTATTTCAATAAAAAAATAAATTATAAAAATTAATATTTTGTATAGAATATTTTATGAAAGTATTAAATATTTATTTATTAAAATAATTTTAAATGTATTAAATCCAATAAAAGAATTAATTTTTTTTTAAAAAATTGTACCTTTGGATGACTCACAATCCTATCTCATAGGACTTTTAGATACTTTATTATTAGGAACGTTTTGACCGTATGTATTTTATTTTTTATTTTTTTGGTAAGGGACCGTATGTATATCTTTTTGTTGGTAAAGAGGACCGTATGTATTTTAATGGCCATTTTAATAGCTCTACTAAACTCAATGTACACGTAAGTTCTGCCTACTTTTCCACGCGTAGGCATTTCCTATTGGTCTTTGACGTATACCATATTGCTAACATTAGCTTTAGCATTCAGATAGCATCTAATATGCCATGATTCTTTAATGAAACAAACCTGAGCAAAAATATTTAAATTAACTCTAAATCTTACTCAATACACTATTTTATCATATAAAAAATCATAACTATATAAAAATGAATCATTACTATTGATTTACCTTTGTATGATTGTAATTTTTTCGCACAACTACATCATATTTTTTTTGAAAATGAAAAAAATCCATTTCCATTGCTTTATGATCAAATATTTTTAAATTTTTAAATATTAAGGTTGTTTTGACAATTGAGTGTTCCCTACAGCACAGCACAAACCAGTTCAGTTACTTTTCTATATCACCAGTTTCCTCGTTTCACCTTTTTTTATCCTTTTCTTTCGATGACTTTCAAAAAAATACAAACTATTCAGAAGCATAGCCTCACACGTATCACAATAATTCAGATTCGGGCACTTGCTTAAATTCAGTGATAACATCCCAGCAAATAAAGATTCACTGTGCCTCATAAGGATCACAAAATGTTCACAAGTTTAAAACAAACAACGATTTAGTAGACAGAACGGATTGAACACTATAATGTCACAATACAAGTTACACATAATAGTAATATGACTACAGACAATATTCACAAGCTTAAAACAAACAATGATTTGGTATAGAGAAGGATTGAACAATATAGAGTTACAATACACGTTACACATAATAGCAATATGACTATGCAACAACCTGCCAAATTACCCAATAGTTTACTACTTCCAAAGCTAAATATCATAACATTAAAGCAAGCTCCTTCTAGACATTCTCCTTGTTTCAATGAAACTAACGTTTAAGGATTTGGCCATGATTTGTTCTGAACTTGCTGCTTCAGCCACTCTACTGAGTCCAAAGCTGACATGTTCAAACAATTCTAGTGAAGAAACCAAGTGGATTAACTGATGATAAATCCGAAACAATTCAAGTAAAATAATAAGTTCCTGCCAAAAAACACTGAATTGTGAATATTATTACCAGATAGATAAATGATGGTAACCATCATGGTTGATCTTCATTGGACCTTGTCCGGGTCAAACGCCTACGCCTCCTTGGCACAGGAGATGCATCTTCACCAACATCACTAATAAACATACGTAGATCATCATCAACATCATGATTATCGTGAAGACCCAACAGATTCTCACCCCAAAGATAGTGGCGTCGGTCAGATGAACGACGATGATGCCTTGTCCATGCACTTGAATGAGGTCTTGGTTCCCTAACAATTTCAATGGTACTATCCATCATCTGAAACAAGATGGTTGTGGTTAACCAAGGACCACTAGCATTGCCAATGTTGCCTTCACGTTCATCTGATAACCTACCAATACCATCTCCATTCTCAAGAACATAATCTCCAACTACCACAGCTCCCGGCATGGCAGATTGAATAGCACTGACAATGTCACCATATTCTCTTTGACGTTCAATATGTTGCCAGGCTCTTTCTCTTGTCGGATCAATGTCAGAGGGACGAGAAGTGGGATGAACTCTTCTTGCATGCCTGCGCAATTCCAGATAATCACCAACAAATGAGCATGAGTCCCTTGAGCAACTTCTCTTCTTCATGTTCAAGTAGTTCCTAGCCTCTTCAATCACTTCCCAACCCAGTACTGTGCCTCTACATAAAGGGCATTTCAAGCTCAATTTTGACTCTGATGAATTATCTGCATCTAAATCCTCAAGCACAGCCCTGTCCTGCAAGGTCTCAGAATCAGCAGTTTCTAAAATGCCTTCATCATGTGGGTCTAAATGCCTACTTGGATCTTGGGCATCACCCTGTCTTGATCCTTGGGGAAGTCCAACAGATAATAAGAGTATTAATTTCATTATGGTGGAGTTCATTAACATCATGCATGTCAGAATGCATAGTAAGGTTAATATCAAAACTATTACCAGAGTTGTTTGTGTTTACTAAAGAATTGGGTAAATTTGGGTTCTCCTTAGAATTGTCCCTCATTTTTTTAAACCGGTCCAGGCAATTTGAATGCCTATAACTTGTATCACAAATGTAAGATCTGCAGCCCTTCTCATGAGAGCTGCAAAGGAGAAGAACAGCATTATGTGGATGGTCCATGCAGATAGCACATGAAACTTCATCCAATTCTTTGTGAAGAGCACGGATGTCTGAATCACTACATAATCTTCGCTTAACACCAGCCATCTTCCTTGCACGGTGTTAACTACTCAACATATTGAACTCATTAGAAAATGGTGCAGGTAACCAGACAAATAATCTTTCATTTTTTCATAACAAGACAACATGCACACAAAATTTCTGACATAAAAATAAAATACATGGTCAACAATAGAAGAACAATTCTATATACCTACGAACAAGCAAAGAGTAAAATACAAGAGTAACAAACAGAAACTAAATATAATAAACATGGCATGAACCACTTAAGCTTTGTCCTCCTGTGCACAAGAATGTATAAACAACAGCAAGAAGGACTATTTTTAGACGGATTAACAACATCGCTCAGACTTCCGGTTCTTCCCTTCGTCCTATTTCCCAGTATTACTATAAATTTTAATTCTATTTACCCTTCCTTTCTCTCTCTCAAAACATTAAAAAAAGGAATCAAAGATATGAATGGGAAAAATTGACTTTGATTCTATCTTGTATAATGTTTGCCCTTTTCTCCACACAACAGGGAAGCCTACAAACTGTCCTTCCACACATGAGAGAACAAGAATGTGAAGTTTTGATCTAATGTGTGACTTTGAGATTGAACTGAAATACACCATGATTCAACACGGAATAGAACATAAAAAATAAAACTATGATACATGGGATCACCAATGTATTATACTCATCTACAGTTCTAATATGTTGATTCTGCAGTCCATCCTTTCATTTATAATTCAAAATGAAGTATACCACACTTACTCTTTTCCCTCCTCGGATGTTCAAACTTCCCCGAAACAAATCTTTATTTCCTTGGCTATAAAGAAATCAATATAAAGGAAAACTAAAAAAGACAATATTGAAGTGGTCAATTTAAGTTGACAACACAAAATGAACCACTAACTAAAATATTAGATTGCCCCAATTGCATAATTTTAAACTATAACTATTTAAATAAAAAGCACTTCTTGATACTTTCTAACAGACCTTAATATAACATCATCTTGGATTCAAAACCCATAGATCATTAGGATATCAAATCCTATCATCATCCAAGTCCAATGGCATCTACAATATCGATGTGACTTCCAACAGATTCTTTAAACTAAATGATCTACACTAGAACAGTGTTATTGCTTAACACTGAACCAAAGCTAATTTGATTAGGTATGAACATGACAATCAATCTTCATATCTGCTGAAACTACACTATTTATCTTTACCAAAATCTGAACATGACATGCCTAACTTTGAATGTAATGGCAGTTTGTGTTGGTCAACACTAATCTTCTATTTCACGAGACAAATCCGAAGAGAAGATTTACCATATTGTAAAATAATTTAAAAGACTTTCTGGCACATGGAAAAACCCTGCTTACTAATAGAAGAAAACGAAGTATCCAAACAAAATGCAGTTTTAACAAATTAATATCCCAACTAAAAATTTATGAAAGCAAAATATGAAAAAGAGATCCACATAAAACCAGAAATTAAATAGTTCAAGCAAAGATTCAGTGCTAGCAATGAAAAGGCAATTAGAAGGAAATAAAAGACACCGGGATAACAGCATGCTCTACTGTATGCTTATAAAGTATAAACTTACCAAGACAATAAGCTCTAGCTATACTCCCTACCGAGGGCTTCTGAGTCCCAGTTTGTAATTACAGAACCTTTAGTTGACTTCACAAAAGAATCACACGGCAATCACTCATGCAATGCTCCAAAGTACGTTATAATTAATGAATCAATGTATACTACATTCTTGGACAAATGTATAAATAACGAACACATCTTACAACAGAATCACCAACAAGCCCCAAAATCTGCAGGTATACCATCAAAAAGGAAGAAAAAGAAACTACGTTAAGCAACACAAGATCTCAATCCAATAAATTTGATATCAATTAAATTTAAAATCTAGGAAGCAGCAGTTAGAAATAAAACCATAGAAACAGAGAAATAAGGACACTTCAATCAAACTGATTCATCAACTCAACACTATTGTTTGAAATAAGGACACCGTCAATCAAACTTATTCATTAGTGAAATTACCTAGTATCCCGGATCATATCACGGATACTGTGATCTATGGTTGTGACAATGAATCCCATTTATTTTGTTTCCTACCTAAGAACATCATACAAAGCAGTGGCTTTGTGTAATATTGAAATTCAACGGGCGATAGGGTAGAAATTGAACTGACACTCATAACAAGATAATCCTAAATCTACATAGTTCTATGGACATTATGAAATGGGATAGATGGGGAAATGAAATTTTATTTAATTATTTTTAGTAAAATTTACATGAACATCAAGCAAGATAGTAAATAAGAAATACAAGGACTTCAATGCATTATTGTTATTAGAAATGGCTCTCCAGAGATATCATGGGTGGCTAGACTTATCTTCCTGTCCAGTGTGTTGGTGTTGTTGCTTGGGAACAGAAAGATTCAGGAAATTACTAAGGCATTATGATGGTGGATTTGTAGATTTGCAAGTCAAGGTAACAACTATGGCAATGATAATGACCACAATAAAAGTAGGGTTAGCAGACTTGGCAGGATTTTTCCTATCCAATAATCATCAAATTTTGCACATTGAGGAGACCTATCCTAAATAGGATTCAAAAGTATGAAAGCATGGAAGCATTAAGCACTACTAGACTTATATGACCAATCAAATTGAGATGGATCACAATGCAGATTATCAAGTTTATTTCTTTGGCCATACATCAAATATCAAGTAGAAACCCATATAGTATTATTCTGCAAGTATAAAAAATAGACATCCAAAAATTACAAAATCACCCAAAATCTGTTTGTTCTCACAGTCCTCAAGGTTCAACATTCTAGAACAAAAAGGGGACCAATCATTTGCCCAAACAAGACATCTACTACTCAAATTTATAGATATAATCAAACAAACTAGAAACGATTTCCAACCAGGCAAAGTGTAGAACATTCCAATTGCACACCATCCAATCACCAAACAAACACAAAAATTAGCAATAATTGGAATGAAGAAATGGAAAGGAATTCTACAAGAGGTGGGAATAAACAGGGTTCCAATTTCAAAAACCTATTTAAATCCCAAGAAAAATCATACATGATACCTAACCCCAGATCAACGTCCAATCACCCACCAATTCAAAACAAACCCTAAACCTAACCCCCAACTCAAACCCTGAACAAAATTCAATCACCAGAAAAATTCATGATTATCCTGGGGAAAATTAAATTAAAAAAATAAATTACAGAAAAAAATAAATAAATAAATAAAACAACAACACAAGCACCCAATCAAAAAGAGCAAGATCAAACCCAATTAGGATCCATAAAGATAAAACACAGAAACAAATAAAAATCAAAACTTTAGCAGAAATAAAGGTGGGGATTTACAAAAAGGGTTGATTTATAATTTAATTTTTTTTTTTTCCTTCTTCTTCTGGGGTTGGTCTCTGCAAAAGATCCAAGAGATGCAGAGAAGAAACAAGACACGGAAGAAAATGAAACTCCAAATATAGAGGGTGTTATTTATATATTAGAATTAGGACAAGACATAGATGAAAATGCTGCGTGCACCTATCAACAAGGATCATGATTCATGGGTCCAAACACAAGGGGCTAATAGTCGGTTTAAATGGTTATGCGTACATTCTACGGTTAAGGTATAAGGTACGAGTATGAGTACAGGTATGCATTTTTATTTTTTTTTAATAAAAATTTGGATAAGATAATCTTGGAAGAAATCAGAATTTTGATTTTTGAGAATTCCTCATCTGTTCTTAGTTAAATAGAATAGAGTACGCTAAAAGTTATTGAATTGAATCAACTAAAATGGGATTTGTTTGTTGTATTCACATTAACAATATAATACGGGTCCACATGTTCTCCTCTAAAGGGAACAGAGCCTCCATATACAAGATGATTAATTATTTAGCTATAAATAATTAAATATTACACAAATTATTTATGGAAAATTAAATTAACATCCTTATAATTTCTTATATTTATTTTTTTAATTGTCAATTTAATTTTGATTTATGGAAATAAAAATAATTATAAAATATCATAAGGAAAAAAATTTCCTAAGTATAACCTCCCTCAATATTATACATTATTTAAAATATTATTCACAATATTAAATTTTTATTTGATAAATAATCACATATCGTGTATTTAAATTAATAATTATAATAAAATTATATAGATAGAATATTTAAAATTAACTGATTCCAAATTTACTTTTAATTTAATGAAATATATATATATATATATATATATATTTGGTAAACTACTGAAATATATTAAAAACGCTCATATTTAAAATTTCGTAATTTTATAATTTAATTGAATTTTATTTGTTGTAATAATGTTATTGGTATTATTTAAATTTATTATTTAATAAATAAATATCCAATACATGTTTACACTAATAGCTTGGCTTTTTTACCCTTTTGCCCCTCATTAATTAATTAATAACCAATTTGTCCCTCCCGCAGAACTATCCACCATCCTGCCCCCTTTTACTCGATTCAGATGAATTTTTAATCGAGTAAATGGTCAAAATACAGAAAAAATGATGACTGAAATTTAATTGAATAAAAATGATTCAAGGGTGTGGAAGATAGGCTTGCTCGTCTGGAGCTTGCACGAGGACAGGATGTTGAGGAGGCAGCAGGGGAGGATCCCCATGTGTCAGATGAGGAAGACGAGGAGACAGAGTCCGAGGAGGACGGGGATTAGATTTAGGGTTTAGGTTTTTAGTTCATGTTTTTCTGTATTCATGTCATGTATTTCCTTCATTTCCTATTTGATGTAGGGGTTAGGGTTTGTATTTCCTTTGGTTCCCGAACTATTTGATGTAACGAAGTTGTTGTTTTGTTATCGGTTTTTTTTTTTTTTTGATAACATTGTTATCGGATTTATTTATCATTAATTATGCCCTTTTCAATGTTGAACAAATGAGATAAATGGTACTTTTGTATGAACTTGATCAATTTGGTTCAAATAATAGCACAACAGGTCACAATCGTCCATAGCAACTCAGAACAATCACTAATAGGTCTTTAAAATGATTTAACCAAGTTTTGGTTCACCTAAACCAACGTTTGCAATCAATACATGCACGTTTTGGGAATTGAACATCCACGTTGCTTTTTTGTGTCGCAATTTGTGTTCCCTAAGTCACACTAACTTAGTTCATGAGTGTAGATTCTCAATGAAGACTAAAAATCCTAAAAAAACAGAATGGGGTGCCAAAAGCAATGTTTTAATCGATTAACCTGTACTGGTTTAGTCGATTAAATATTGTAGTCGATTAGGTAATCGACTAAATAACAATTGTAGTCGATTAAACCTCCCCGAAATTTAATCGACTAAGAGGGATTTTTAGTCGATTAAATTTCGGTCATCATTTTTTCTGTATTTTGACCATTGAATTGATTAAAAATTCATCTTAATCGACTAAAGGGGGCAGGATGGTGGATAGTTTTGGGAGAGGGACAAATTGGTTATTAATTAATCAATGAGGGGCAAAAGAGTCAAAAAGCCCTAATAGCTTTAATAAAAATTTATAATCAAAATATTTGAAAGACAAAGATTTGTTTGAAAAAATTTAGCGCGTAATAAACGAATACAACTACGATTATTATCTTATAAAATATAATAAATATTTACATTTAAAATTAATAATTTAACAACTTAATTTTCTTTTATTTGATAGGATAATTTTACGTATGCATTGCACAAATTATTCAAATTTACTAGTCAAGTTTATTATTTGATGACTTAATATTTCGTACTTATTTAAAGATTTTAGTAATAATGGCAATTCGGTTAAAAGAAATCCATCAAATTAAATGATAAAAATAGGAAAAAAATATTTCTACAGTTACTGCAGATAAGTTATATGCATTTATTCCCAAAATGACGTAATTTTGGAATTGAAATTTTAAAAAATTATAAATATAAAGACTATTATAACCCTAAAAAGTTAAAATTACAAAAACACCATGATTCTGCCCCAAAACGACGTCGTATTGAGTTTACTGCATATTACTTAACTGCAGAAAAAGCGAACCCATAAAAATAATACATAATATAATTCTTTAGAAGTTTTTTTAATGAAAATATTAAATATGACATGACAGGGTAATGTATGAATAGATTAACTAATATTTAATGTGTAATTTATTTATCTCTCACATCTCCCTATGAACTTTTAGATTGAAACTAATAAATATTAAATTATCAAAATACTTAACTTGTATCAGAATCAATATCTTATTAGATTTTAAATCAAAATAAGTTGGAATTAATTTTCATAATTAGTATTTTAACCCGTGCGATGTATATGGGTTATGATGGAATGATTTTTATTATATATTGATATGAAATTTATACGCTAAAGATTACGAAATACATAAAAATAAAATATGAAATAAATTTTAAAGGAAATATGAATGTAATAACTGTTACTAAATTTAAATAGAAGACTAAAGACTCGTGTATTAAAGTTGAAACTTCTTGATCACAAGTAAATTGAGTTTGTTGTAAGCCTACAAGTATTTTTGGAAAATAAACTTTCAGATATACAATAAGACAATACAGTTCATAATTAAATAATAAATAAAAAGTATCGTTTTATATGTAACTGTTAATAAACTATGAGAATTACAAAGTATTATGAGGTTTGAAAATAAAATTATAAAGTCATCTACCATTTGAGATATTCAGCAGTGCAACTCTTTTGTTTGGGTTAAACATTATTGCTGAATTAGTCAATGATGTCGACATATGTGTTGTCTCTACATAAATGAGAATTTGTGAGTTCAATTGAACATTAAAACTTAAAAAATTAATAATAGGAATAAATATGTACTACCAATAGATCTTGTATAGCAAGTGTAAGATTGAATGTTTGTAACGGTCTTCCTCGTTTTCTCTGTTGATTTGAAGCACCATCACACTGACTTCAAAGTTGATTTTCATGTAACCTTACAAATATTTTTACAAATTTAAAATAAAATAATATATATTTGTTTTTTTTCTTGGTAATCTATATATATATATATTTGTTTTTAATTGCTAATAAGTTTGATGTATAAAATAATAAAAATAATATTTAAGTTGAATAAGTTGAAATTGCAGGAATAGAAGATGTGTCTGGGATTACTCTTTTTGTCAAAGGAGTAGTACAATCATTGCATAGAATTGAATTTTGATTTTCTTTTAATACTATCAATGATATCCAACAATTATGAGCAATTGTATAGGTAATGCATATGAAAGACATTTAAACATGAATTGTACATTATAAATTTGGGGAAGGATATTGTAACAACCAATTAATGTTACAAGCATTGTTACTACTAATCAATTTTACCGTTAGATCGATTATGTTAATCCAACGGTTATATTCATTTTCATCTTTGTATGATTATGATTCCCCATATTTAATATTTTATATTTATTTTCACCTTTGTATGGTTATGATTCCCCATATTTAATGTGAAATATGGGGAATCATAACCATACAAAGATGGAAATAAATATAACTGTTAGATCAACATAATTGATCTAACGGTGAAATTGATTGGTAGTAACACTAATTGGTTGTTACAATATCTTACCCCTATAAATTTATACCGCAAGCATCTTTTGATGAGTTAACACATGCAAGCTATTGTTATTTTAAATTGTTTACAAATTATAAAATTTGGAAACGAAAATTAATATTTTGACTGTCTCATTCTTTCAAATATTTACTTGATAGAAACAACCATGAAAATGGTAAACCTTTTTAATTTATTATTATAGTTGAAATTGGTATTGGGCATTAGACGTATGTGAAACAATTGTTTAAAAAGAAATAATATTTTATGAGTACAGAGAGAGATGAATTTTTCATTGTAGAGTATAAAATTTAAATGAAATAGTTTCGTTTACCTGAATTGTATGGGTTTCTGAATTGTCTTTTCCTACACAGCTGAAGCTTTCTTTCAAATCTTGCTTGTTTTAAGCCAGAAGTTGAAGATGCCATTTTAATTTTGGAGGAAGTTGCAATTTGGATGACAGAAAAGAAGATGAAAGGGATATTATGTGGGAGATATATTGAAAAGTGAGAATAAGTGGATGAGACACATGATGATGGAGGAGACGTTATATGATTATGTCCATTGTTGTCAAAAACTAGTCTGAAAACGTAAAAACGGTAGAAACGCAGTGTAAAAACGTGTTAAAACGTAAGTAGAAACGGTCCTTAGTAGAAAAGGTAAAAACGCCGTGCAGAAACTAAAATCTGTAGAAACGCAAGTTTTTACGTTTTTTACCATTTTCACTTAAACTCAATTTTTTTATTTTAAAAAAAAACTTTTTTCCATTTTTTGAAATTCAATTTTCTCTTTTAATGTTTTTAGACTTATATCTTATATAGTTATGTGACTTATATCTTTTAAATATGAAGTTATTTATTAAATTTTGAGTAGTGACTTATGTGAAATTTTTTTTACATGCACACACACACACACATATATATATCTATATAAAATTTTGTATCTAGATCTTAAGTAGTAAAAATTCTACGTTTCGTCTCCTTTCTAAGAATTACGTTTCTACTATCCCCTTCTGTTTCTACGTAGAAACTCGATTTTGCTACATTGATTATGTCTGCTTAAAGGTAATTATTGGTAGTGAGTAATTTTAGACTAGGGTTTTGGATGGATCAAAATAAGAAAAATGTCTTATTTATATAACGAAAAAGGGAAACTAAATATGTTGGCTAATCAGTACCCTTGATTAGCGTCCCATCACTTCCCAATCATATTGGGTAATTGCTTTTTTTTTTATCCAATCAATTCAATTTGATTGTTTTCCGTAATTGTAGCTAATCAATATAAGTAATTGATTTCCTTAATTTTCTCCATTGTCCTCACATTTAATTTCACGACTATATTTAAATTCAAATTTTAAACTCAAAATTCAAAATTAGAATACAAATTAATTTTAGTAATTTGTGTGACCCATATAATTTTTTTAAAAAACTTGCTTAAGATAGAAATTTTACACTTTTCGAAAGAATCCAAATCATTGTATAAGTTACATGTGGCAAATTTTTTTATAGAAAGACTCTGAATTATAATATAGTAAAGATTAAAATCAAAAGGGTATATTACCAAATGATGGTAGATCAGTTGATAGCGCGATGGAATTGAGCAGGTGTTTGATTCTTCCAGAACCGTCTTTGGGAGGAATTTAAAGCCTTAATCCTGGGACCTGCTCCGAATCGGATTAGTCTCGAAACGATGAATCAATTGGAATATCTCCAAAAGAATCAAAAGGGTATAAGAAAAATTAAAACAAAAGTATTTACTATTATTTTAAATTGAATAAGTAAATATAACAAGCTATTCATATTCGAATTTTACTTATCATTAAGATTTAAAAAAAGTTAAAAGTTCCCCAACACATTTTTTACAGGTTTGTTAATTTAGCAATCTGTGGTTATTTAATATTGTATTATTTTTATGTTATTTAGAATGTTTGTGGACGATTTGTGATTATTCAATATAATATTTATTTCCCCCTTTAAAAATCAAATATATTTTTGAAACTATGGATATTATTGTGATTTTTAGTTATCTGAATTTTAATGTCAAAGATTGGATATCAATTGTGATTTTAAAATAATGATATAATCTGATATCAAAAAAATAAAAATAATAATGATATAATCAAATTTTTAAGAAATATATATAACTCTTTGAATACCTGCTTAATTACTAATAGACGCTGATGAGATAAAAATAAAATAAGGAATAATATCAATCGTATCTCCATTTTGTTACTTGTTTGCCAAGTATCCTAATACTATATAAGACACTCTACCAATCCTGTATAATGATATTAACACCCTCCACCAATCCTGTTTTCTTTTTTCTTGTGTTTTCCTTTCAAACGCTCTTCAATGGCTGAACCCCAAAAGTCACGTGTGATTAAGCTTTACTTGAATGGTGCAAAGCGTTCAAGAACGGTCCAAGAAGCCTGCCCACCGACGGAGATCATCGCTGATCATCGTTCCAAGAAAATGAGAAAAGATGCTTTTGAAATTTCTCCACCACTGAGAATGAACAGAACAACGGCTGAACATGAACACCGACCAACAAAGTGTAGAGTGCAAAGTGCAAGAGAAGGAAGGTGCTTCGGACCGGAAAACTCCAAAAGAATGTCAAGAGCAGCTTCCCAAGTTTGTGAGTTGAAGAAGGAAGGTGAAGAGTGTAAGAAAGAGAAGAAACAAAGCATAGACAGATACAAAAAAATGCAATGTTGGGTGATCTTGAAAAGGTTGAAGGAAGGAAGAGATGCTTGGGCTTTCAAAGAAGCTCTTGATGTTAAGGTCTTGGAGTTTAATGATAACCCTGAATCTGTATCAAATTCAATAGGTTTGAAGGATATTGAGGTCAAATTGAACCACTATTTGTATTACAAACCTAAGGAATTTGCAGAAGATATGAGGCTTGCAATTTCTTATGCATTGCTATACCCTTGGAGGAGTGAGATTCACATGATTGCAAGGAGGGTTAGTGAGAAATTTGAGACCGATTGGAAATCTTTAAAGAAAAAGTGGATTCTTGAGGAAAGAAAAAGAAAGAAAAGTATGTGCAAATCTTGATAGAGAAGCTCAAGGTTGCTGGATTCTGTTTAGAGTGTAGTGTTTGTACAAACTTGATTCTTGAATTACTAGGTTATTGATTTTGTTTCCTTTTGAGTTTTATTAAAACGTAGATCATGTTTTTTCAGTTTTTTCGTTAATAAGCAATCCTATTTTATTAAAATATCGTGTTTTCCTCGTATGAATTTGTTGCTCCCTCTGGAATCAGGTTATCTCCTCCACGTTCTCTCTTCCTCAATATTCGCTTCTACCTAATTTTCTTTTTTCTGAAATGTTTTTTTCTATGTATATATTTTTTCTCGTTCTTCAGCTTCTTGCCCTTGTTTTCTATCGAAGTTTTAGGTGTTCTTTTAGTTCGTTTCGTTTAAAAATCACAGCATCTTGGTCATATGCACTTCTGGTTGTTGAATTTGTTGGCAGATCTAGGACTTCGCGCTGTTTCTCAGTTTTTGTTTTGTAACGTTTGGCTGAAGCTTGTTAAGTTTAGTTTTGTGTGTCTGTTATTTGATCTGAGTTCCTTCATTGTCGTGAATTCTGATCTATGGCTTTTTTTTATCCAATCAATTCAATTAATTGTTTTCCGTAATTTTAGCTAATCAATCTAAGTAATTGATTTCCTTAATTTTCTCTATTGTCATCACATTTATTTTCATGACTATATTTAAATTCAAATTGTAAACTCAAAATTCAAAATTAGAATACAAATTAATTTTAGTAATTTGTGAGTGACCCATATAATTTTTTTTAAAAACTTTCTTAAGATAGAAATTTTACACTTTTTGAAAGAATCCAAATCATTGTATAAATTACATGTGGAAATTTTTTTATAGAAAGACTTTAAATTATAATATAGTAAAGATTAGAATCAAAACGGTATATTACCAAATGATGGTAGGTAAGTTGGTAGCGCGATGGAATTGAGCAGGTGAGAGTAAGAGCATGCGTTTGATTCTCCTAGAACCGTCTTTGGGAGGAATTTAAAGCCTTACAAAAAGTGTGTTAAAAATGTGTTAAAACGTAAGTAGAAACGGTCCTTAGTAGAAACAGGTAGAAACGCTGTGTAGAAACTAAAATCGGTAGAAACGTAAGTTTTTACGTTTTTTACCGTTTTTACTTAAACTCAATTTTTTTATTTAAAAAAAAAAAACTTTTTCCCATTTTTTGAAATTCAATTTTCTCTTTTAATGTTTTTAGACTTATATCTTATATAGTTATGTGACTTATATCTTTTAAATATGAAGTTATTTATTAAATTTTGACTAGTGACTTATGTGAAATTTTTTTTACATGCACACACACACACACACACACACACACACACACACATATATATATATATATTATTTTGTACCTAGATCTTAAGTAGTACCGTTTCTACATAGAAACTCGATTTTGACTACATTGATTATGTCTGCTTAAAGGTAATTATTGGTAGTGAGTAATTTTAGACTAGGGTTTTGGATGGATCAAAATAAGAAAAATGTTTATTTATATAACGAAAAAGGGAAACTAAATATGTTGGCTAATCAGTACCCTTGATTAGTGTCCCATCACTTCCCAATCATATTGGGTAATTGCATTTTTTTATCCAATCAATTCAATTTGATTGTTTTCGGTAATTTTAGCTAATCAATATAAGTAATTGATTTCCTTAATTTTCTCCATTGTCGTCACATTTAATTTCATGACTATATTTAAATTCAAATTTTAAACTCAAAATTCAAAATTAGAATACAAATTAATTTTAGTAATTTGTGTGACCTATATAATTTTTTTTAAAAACTTGCTTAAGATAGAAATTTTACACTTTTCGAAAGAATCCAATTCAATGTATAAGTTACATGTGGCAAATTTTTTTTATAGAAAGACTCTGAATTATAATATAGTAAAGATTAGAATCAAAAGGGTATATTACCAAATGATGGTAGATCAGTTGATAGCGCGATGGATGGAATTGAGCAGGTGTTTGATTCTTCCAGAACCGTCTTTGGGAGGAATTTAAAGCCTTAATCCTGGGACCCGCTCCGTATCGGATTAGTCGCGAAACGATGAATCAATTGGAATATCTCCAAAAGAATCAAAAGGGTATAAGAAAAATTAAAACAAAATTATTTACTATTATTTTAAATTGAATAAGTAAATATAACAAGCTATTCAGATTCGAATTTTACTTATCATATAGATTTAAAAAAAGTTAAAAGTTCCCCAGCACACCTTTTACAGGTTTGTTAATTTAGCAATCTGTGGTTATTTAATATTGTATTATTTTTATGTAATTTAGAATGTTTGTGGACGATTTGTGATTATTCAATATAATATTTATTTCCCCCCATTAAAAATCAAAGATATTATGGATATTATTGTGATTTTTAGTTATCTGAATTTTAATGTCAAAGATTGGATATCAATTGTGATTTTAAAATAATGATATAATCAAATTTTTAAGAAATATATATAACTCTTTGAATACCTGCTTAATTACTAATAGACGCTGATGAGATAAAAATAAAATAAGGAATAATATCAATCGTATCTCCATTTTGTTACTTGTTTGCCAAGTATCCTAATACTATATAAGACACTCTACCAATCCTGTATAATGATATTAACACCCTCCACCAATCCTGTTTTCTTTTTTCTTGTGTTTTCCTTTCAAACGCTCTTCAATGGCTGAACCCCAAAAGTCACGTGTGATTAAGCTTTACTTGAATGGTGCAAAGCATTCAAGAACGGTCCCAGAAGACTGCCCACATACGGAGATCATCGCTGATCATCGTTCCAAGAAAATGAGAAAAGATGCTTTTGAAATTTCTCCGCCACTGAGAATGAACAGAACGACGGCTGAACATGAACACCGACCAACAAAGTGCAGATTGCAAAGTGCAAGAGAAGGAAGGTGCTTCGGACCGGAAAACTCCAAAAGAATGTCAAGAGCAGCTTCCCAAGTTTGTGAGTCGAAGAAGGAAGGTGCAGAGTGCAAGAAAGAGAAGAAACAAAGCATAGACAGATACAAAAAAATGCAATGTTGGGTGATCTTGAAAAGGTTGAAGGAAGGAAGAGATGCTTGGGATTTCAAAGAAGCTCTTGATGTTAAGGTCTTGGAGTTTAATGATAACCCTGAATCTGTATCAAAGCCAATAGGTTTGAAGGATATTGAGGTCAAATTGAACCACTATCTGTATTACAAACCTAAGAAATTTGCAGAAGATATGAGGCTTGCAATTTCTTATGCATTGCTATACCCTTGGAGGAGTGAGATTCACATGATTGCAAGGAGGGTTAGTGAGAAATTTGAGACCGATTGGAAATCTTTAAAGAAAAAGTGGATTCTTGAGGAAAGAAAAAGAAAGAAAAGTATGTGCAAATCTTGATAGAGAAGCTCAAGGTTGCTGGATTCTGTTTAGAGTGTAGTGTTTGTACAAACTTGATTCTTGAATTACTAGGTTATTGATTTTGTTTCCTTTTGAGTTTTATTAAAACGTAGATCCTGTTTTTTCTGTTTTTTCGTTAATAAGCAATCGTGTTTTATTAAAATGTCGTGTTTTTCTCGTATGAATTTGTTGCTCCCTCTGGAATCAGGTTATCTCCTCCACGTTCTCTCTTCCTCAATATTCGCTTCTACCTATTTTTCTTTTTTCTGAAATGTTTTTCTATGTATATATTTTTTCTCGTTGTTCAGCTTCCTGCCCTTGTTTTCTATCGAAGTTTTAGGTGTTCTTTTAGTTCGTTTCGTTTAAAAATCACAGCATCTTGGTCATATGCACTTCTGGTTGTTGAATTTGTTGGCAGATCTAGGACTTCGCGCTGTTTCTCAGTTTTTGTTTTGTAACGTTTGGCTGAAGCTTGTTAAGTTTAGTTTTATGTGTCTGTTATTTGATCCGAGTTCCTTCATTGTCGTTAATTCTGATCTATGGCTTTTTTTTATCCAATCAATTCAATTAATTGTTTTCCGTAATTTTAGCTAATCAATCTAAGTAATTGATTTCCTTAATTTTCTCTACTGTCATCACATTTAATTTCATGACTATATTTAAATTCAAATTTTAAACTCAAAATTCAAAATTAGAATACAAATTAATTTTAGTAATTTGTGTGTGACCCATATAATTTTTTTTTAAAACTTGCTTAAGATAGAAATTTAACATTTTTCGAAAGAATCCAAATCATTGTCTAAATTACATGTGGAAAATTTTTTATAGAAAGACTCTGAATTATAATATAGTAAAGATTAGAATCAAAACGGTATATTACCAAATGATGGTAGGTAAGTCGGTAGCGCGGTGGAATTGAGCAGGTGAGAGTAAGAGCATGCGTTTGATTCTCCTATAACCGTCTTTGGGAGGAATTTAAAGCCTTACAAAAAGTGTGTTAAAAATGTGTTAAAACATAAGTAGAAACGGTCCTTAGTAGAAACAGGTAGAAACGCAAGTTTTTACGTTTTTTACCGTTTTTACTTAAATTCAATTTTTTTATTTTAAAAAAAAAACTTTTTTCCATTTTTTGAAATTCAATTTTCTCTTTTAATGTTTTTAGACTTATATCTTATATAGTTATGTGACTTATATCTTTTAAATATGAAGTTATTTATTAAATTTTGAGTAATGACTTATGTGAAATTTTTTTTACATGCACACACACACACACACACACACACATATATATATATATATATATATATATATATATTATTTTGTATCTAGATCTTAAGTAGTAAAAATTTTACGTTTCGTCTCCTTTCTACGAATTACGTTTCTACTATCCCCTTCCGTTTCTACGTAGAAACTCGATTTTGACTACATTGATTATGTCTGCTTAAAGGTAATTATTGGTAGTGAGTAATTTTAGACTAGGGTTTTGGATGGATCAAAATAAGAAAAATGTCTTATTTATATAACGAAAAAGGGAAACTAAAAATGTTGGCTAATCAGTACCCTTGATTAGCGTCCCATCACTTCCCAATCATATTGGGTAATTGCTTTTTTTTATCCAATCAATTCAATTTGATTGTTTTCCGTAATTTTAGCTAATCAATATAAGTAATTGATTTCCTTAATTTTCTCCATTGTCGTCACATTTAATTTCATGACTATATTTAAATTAAAATTTTAAACTCAAAATTCAAAATTAGAATACAAATTAATTTTAGTAATTTGTGTGACCCATATAATTTTTTTAAAAAACTTGCTTAAGATAGAAATTTTACACTTTTCGAAAGAATCCAAATCATTGTATAAGTTACATGTGGCAAATTTTTTTTATAGAAAGACTCTGAATTATAATATAGTAAAGATTAGAATCAAAAGGGTATATTACCAAATGATGGTAGATCAGTTGGTAGCGCGATGGATGAAATTGAGCAGGTGTTTGATTCTTCCAGAACCGTCTTTGGGAGGAATTTAAAGCCTTAATCCTGGGACCCGCTCCGAATCGGATTAGTCGCGAAACGATGAATCAATTGGAATATCTCCAAAAGAATCAAAAGGGTATAAGAAAAATTAAAACAAAAGTATTTACTATTATTTTAAATTGAATAAGTAAATATAACAAGCTATTCAGATTCGAATTTTACTTATCATTTAGATTTAAAAAAAGTTAAAAGTTCCCCAGCACACCTTTTACAGGTTTGTTAATTTAGCAATCTGTGGTTATTTAATATTGTATTATTTTTATGTTATTTAGAATGTTTGTGGACGATTTGTGATTATTCAATATAATATTTATTTCTCCCCTTTAAAAATCAAAGATATTATGGATATTATTGTGATTTTTAATTATCTGAATTTTAATGTCAAAGATTGGATATCAATTGTGATTTTAAAATAATGATATAATCAAATTTTTAAGAAATATATATAACTCTTTGAATACCTGCTTAATTACTAATAGACGCTGATGAGATAAAAATAAAATAAGGAATAATATCAATCATTTCCAAAAAAAAAGGAATAATATCAATCGTATCTCCATTTTGTTACTTGTTTCCCAAGTATCCTAATACTATATAAGACACTCTACCAATCCTGTATAATGATATTAACACCCTCCACCAATCCTGTTTTCTTTTTTCTTGTGTTTCCTTTCAAACGCTCTTCAATGGCTGAACCCCAAAAGTCACGTGTGATTAAGCTTTACTTGAATGGTGCAAAGCATTCAAGAACGGTCCCAGAAGACTGCCCACAGACGGAGATCATCGCTGATCCTCGTTCCAAGAAAATGAGAAAAGATGCTTTTGAAATTTCTCCGCAACTGAGAATGAACAAAACGACGGCTGAACATGAACACCGACCAACAAAGTGCAGATTGCAAAGTGCAAGAGAAGGAAGGTGCTTCAGACCGGAAAACTCCAAAATAATGTCAAGAGCAGCTTCCCAAGTTTGTGAGTTGAAGAAGGAAGGTGCAGAGTGCAAGAAAGAGAAGAAACAAAGCATAGACAGATACAAAAAAATGCAATGTTGGGTGATCTTGAAAAGGTTGAAGGAAGGAAGAGATGCTTGGGCTTTCAAAGAAGCTCTTGATGTTAAGGTCTTGGAGTTTAATGATAACCCTGAATCTGTATCAAAGCCAATAGGTTTAAAGGATATTGAGGTCAAATTGAACCACTATCTGTATTACAAACCTAAGGAATTTGCAGAAGATATGAGGCTTGCAATTTCTTATGCATTGCTATACCCTTGGAGGAGTGAGATTCACATGATTGCAAGGAGGGTTAGTGAGAAATTTGAGACCGATTGGAAATCATTAAAGAAAAAGTGGATTCTTGAGGAAAGAAAAAGAAAGAAAAGTATGTGCAAATCTTGATAGAGAAGCTCAAGGTTGCTGGATTCTGTTTAGAGTGTAGTGTTTGTACAAACTTGATTCTTGAATTACTAGGTTATTGATTTTGTTTCCTTTTGAGTTTTATTAAAACGTAGATCCTGTTTTTTCTATTTTTTTCGTTAATAAGCAATCCTGTTTTATTAAAATGTCGTGTTTTTCTCGTATGAATTTGTTGCTCCCTCTGGAATCAGGTTATCTCCTCCACGTTCCCTCTTCCTCAATATTCGCTTCTACCTATTTTTCTTTTTTCTGAAATGTTTTTTCTATGTATATATTTTTTCTCGTTCTTCAGCTTCCTGCCCTTGTTTTCTATCGAAGTTTTAGGTGTTCTTTTAGTTCGTTTCGTTTAAAAATCACAGCATCTTGGTCATATGCACTTCTGGTTGGTGAATTAATTGGCAGATCTAGGACTGTTTCTCAGTTTTTGTTTTGTAACGTTTGGCTGAAGCTTGTTAAGTTTAGTTTTATGTGTCTGTTATTTGATCTGAGTTCCTTCATTGTCGTGAATTCTGATCTATGGCTTTTTTTTATCCAATTAATTCAATTAATTGTTTTCCGTAATTTTAGCTAATCAATCTAAGTAATTGATTTCCTTAATTTTCTCTATTGTCATCACATTTAATTTCATGACTATATTTAAATTCAAATTTTAAACTCAAAATTCAAAATTAGAATACAAATTAATTTTAGTAATTTGTGTGTGACCCATATAATTTCTTTTAAAAACTTGCTTAAGATAGAAATTTTACACTTTTCGAAAGAATCCAAATCATTGTATAAATTACATGTGGCAAATTTTTTATAGAAATACTCTGAATTATAATATAGTAAAGATTAGAATCAAAACGGTATATTACCAAATGATGGTAGATAAGTTGGTAGCGCGATGGAATTGAGCAGGTGAGAGTAAGAGCATTTGTTTGATTCTCCTAGAACCGTCTTTGGGAGGAATTTAAAGCCTATCCTGGGACCCGCTGCGAATCAGATTAGTCGCGAAATGATGAATCAATTGGAATATCTCCAAAAGAATCAAAAGGGTATAAGAAAAATTAAAACAAAAGTATTTACTATTATTTAAAATTGAATAAGTAAATATAACAAGCTATTCAGATTCGAATTTTACTTATCTTTTAGATTTAAAAAAAGTTAAAAGTTCCCCAGCGCACCTTTTACAGGTTTGTTAATTTAGCAATCTGTGGTTATTTAATATTGTATTATTTTTATGTTATTTCGAATGTTTGTGGACGATTTGTGATTATTCAATATAATATTTATTTCCCCCCTTTAAAAATCAAAGATATTTTTGAAACTATGGATATTATTGTGATTTTTAGTTATCTGAATTTTAATGTCAAAGATTATATCAATTGTTATTTTAAAATAATGATATAATCAAATTTTTAAGAAATATATAACTCTTTGAATACCTGCTTAATTACTAATAGACGCTGATGAGATAAAAATAAAATAAGGAATAATATCAATCGTATCTCCATTTTGTTACTTGTTTGCCAAGTATCCTAATACTATATAAGACACTCTACCCTCAAAGCTCTTTCCACAGCAAAACCACTTTTATCTCTGCTTTTATTCTTTTGTATTTTCAAAATCTGTTTTCCTCTTTGTCTATATTTTCTATAGCCGCAAGGAATGAATACCCACCAAAAATCAGGGGGCCATTCAAGAATGTCAAGAATGGGGTCCAAAGCTTGTGAGTTGAAGAACGAGAGTTTAAAGTGCAGGAAAGAGAAAAAGCCAAGGGTAGAGAACATGGACAGAAACCGGATGAAGCAGTGTTGGATTATCTTGAAGAGGTTGATGGTAGGAAGAGATGGTTGGGCTTTCAAAGCCTCTTGATGTTAAGGATTTAGAGTTTCTTGATGATTCTGAGGCTATATCCAAGCCAATGGGTTTGAAGGATATTGAGTCCAAATTGAACAAATCTTTGTACTCAAGACCTGAAGAATTTCCAGATGATATGAGATTTGTATTCATTTATGCAATGCGATGAGAAAAGATGAGGTACACAAAATTGCAATGAGGTTAGTGAGAATTTCAAGAGCAGTTGGAAATCTTTGAAGAAAAAATGAATACATGAGATAAGAAAAGTAAAGAAGATAGAAGATAGGAAGTATGTCAAAACTTGATAGACAAGCTGCAGACCTATGAATGAAGGGTGTTCGATCATGGTTAGGGTGCAGACCTATGATACAAAATGAATTATAGCGTTGTAGATTTAGTTTGCTTTGATTTTCATTAAAATATAGGTTTGTAAAAACTCTATCTCAGGTATCAATCATTAGATTGATGGTGTGAATTTTTGTCGTAGTTACAGCATTTTCAGTTTTTAGGGTAATAACGAGGGTCAAAGGCGGACTCAAAATTTTTTATTTATGTCCGCATATTTAGTGTCAGATTTTTTTTTTTAATTTTAAATGCATTAAAAAACAAAAGAATATAAACAAGAAAAGAAAAAAAAAACTTCAATTTAACATAAAATCAAAAAGTAAAATTATTTATTTTTATAACTTTATTTTATATTTTTGTAATTTTTCTAAAAGTATTTAATCAAATCTCACTACAAATATATAAATGACACAACGAAAATATATCATGAAGACAATTAAGAATTAAAAAAAATAATAACACTAATTATTTTCTTATATTTTCAGTTTTTTTGGTAATTTTATATATTTTATTTAATTCTATCCTAATTAAATAATTTTCTCTTTTTAAATTTTAAGAATTTTATATATTTTTTAAGAGGAAGGTTATACTTACAACCTATTTTCGTTTACAACCTCTTACAACCATATCTTAACCGTTGATTTCCGCCAATCAACGGTTATCATTTATTGTGAATTAATAATTAATTAATGAGTTTAATTTAAAAAAATAATAACCGTTGATTGGCAAAAATCAACGGTGTTAAAATATGGTTATAAAGAGGTTGTAAACAAAATAGGTCGTAAGTATAACCTTTCTCATTTTTTAAATTCATTTCAATATCATGAGATTCATGACGTTAGTGCTCTTAACCTCATACAAAAAATTCTTTTAAATTTTGGGTTTTTACATTTTTATTACATTCTTTGTTATTACTTCTCTTTTTTTTTTTTGCAAAAAGAAAAAAAGAAAGAAAGGAAAGATAATCAAATCCTCCTTATATCCATAAGAAGCCCACATTATTGGCCCAGGGATTTAAAAAAAATAAATAATTAGCACAAATGCAGCTACCACATGGTCATTAACCTAAATGCAAAAATAAAAAATAACAAAACCTAACCTAACCATAAGTTAAAAAAGAAGGATTGTCTATTGCCACATTTTGAAGGGCTCAGTGAAAGCAAGTTTGAACAATGGAAGAGATGTGGTGCCTTGGCTAGATACAATGTGGTGGTTCTAGTTTCAATTGCTAGTGGCTTGCATAAATGTAGGTCCGCCATTGAGGAGGACCAAGCCCAAAAAAAAAATCAAGAAACAGAAATGTGAAACTTTTTCCATACTTCATTTTAGAAACTATAATTATATTAGTTGTGTCTCAATTGTGGCTCTGTTTTGTGTCTCTATCATTGGTTCATACTCGTGTTTATGTTGTCTGCATTGTGTCTCGTTGATGAGTTAATTATCCCAACTCAGTATTTGTATGATATCCAAGTTGAAATTAGTTGGCAAATAGAGATATATGGCTTAAAGGGTCTGAGGTTTCATTGAGGTGAAGGTTACTACAGTTCCTACGCATTGTCATTGTTGAATTGAGTAGATTGAATAACCCAATAAACACATCAACAACATAAAATCAATTTTGATGGTTAATGATGTAGCACATGAAGCAAATTCTTGTACCCCTTTTCGATTGCTTAGCAGAAAGTTGGGAGTAGATTAAAAAAAAAATTAAAGATATATTATTCTCTCTTTTCCTATCTTAATATATTATTCTATTTTCAAATGGAAAACATGGAAAAAAAAATCAAAACTTTAGCAGAAATAAAGGTCGGGATTTACAAAAAGGGTTGATTTATAATTTAATTTTTTTTTTCCTTCTTCTGGGGTTGGTCTCTGCAAAAGATCCAAGAGATGCAGAGAAGAAACAAGACACGAAAGAAAATGAAATTCCAAATATAGAGGGTGTTATTTATATATTAGAATTAGGACAAGACATAGATGAAAATGCTGCGTGCACCTATCAACAAGGATCATGATTCATGGGTCCAAACACAAGGGGCTAATAGTCGGTTTAAATGGTTATGCGTACATTCTACGGTTAAGGTATAAGGTACGAGTATGAGTACAGGTATGTATTTTTTATTTTTTTTTAATAAAAATTTGGATAAGATAATCTTGGAAGAAATCAGAATTTTGATTTTTGAGAATTCCTCATCTGTTCTTAGTTAAATAGAATAGAGTACGCTAAAAGTTATTGAATTGAATCAACTAAAATGGGATTTGTTTGTTGTATTCACATTAACAATATAATACAGGTCCACATGTTCTCCTCTAAAGGGAACAGAGCCTCCATATACAAGATGATTAATTATTTAGCTATAAATATCAGTGTTATTAAACCCGGCCCGAGCATCGACCCGGTCGGGGTACTGGGTCATTGGGTCATTAGTCGGACCGATTGACCCGGATCTATATAGATATATAAAAATATATATAAATATGAACATATAAATTCAATTATATTCTCCATATCTAAAATAAATTAAACAAGGTTCATTAAATAAGCTGAAAAATATGAAGCATAAAAAAAAATGTATACGTTTCTATGTCAATTTGAATTGCAACTCATAATCCCTATAAACATACCTCTCAATGACATTGAACCAGTGTTGTAAAACCCGACCCGTCCCAGCCGGGTCGACCCGGGACCCGGCGACCCGGTCATCGGACCGGTTCGGGTCAAGCATTGGACCGCTCAAGCATAGACCCGGCCAAACTCGGTCAAAACCCGGACAAAACTGGCCAAACCCGGTCAAAATCGGTGACCCAGTGACCCGAACGGGTCATGATTTAAATAAAAAAAACAAATAACCAAAATTATTTCATCTTGTCAGAAAAATGTAAAACTCATTTTAAATTATTTTTGTAATTTTATTTGCTAATATAACAATGACCTCCGATCCAAGTAGGGTGTAAATAGGCTGGGCTGGGCCGGGCTTTGGCCTTCGTGGCCCAAGCCTACGTCAAAAAAAATTCAGCCTATCTGGCCTATTAAAGGCTTTATTTGTAGGCCATGCCCGGCCCATTTTTTAAAATAAGAAAGCCTGACATGGCCTACAGGCCTTGTAGGCCTCCCACTGTAGATACTAAGCAAAAAAAGTAATTGTATAGAGCAAAGAAAGTTTCATTCATGCATGCGCTAGTACTTCTTATAAGAAAAAAATGACAAACAAGAAAGAGTCAACATAATACCCCAGCTCTAGAATATATATCATAGAGGAATAGAGTCAAAGAAATGGGAAAAATAAGAAAAATAGAATTACTGGATGCTGAAATAAAGTCTACAAGAGAATATCATTCATCTAAAAATCTTTAAACCACCATCAAGACAAGGGAAATAATAGTATTATTGAAAGATCTTCATCAGTAACTATAATGACCCTCACATTTATTATGGATTTAATATTGAAGGATAATTACAAAGAAAAAGAAATAAAGTCACTTTTGGTGAAAAATGAGTTAAAATAACAGTTAAGAGGTAAAAAATGCGGGTAAATAAAGTTATCTAAAAGTGAAAGTAAAAATAGAAACGTGACTAGAAAAATATTCTAGTCTATTGGTTAAAGTTTGGTAATGAATGGAGGTGTGTAGATAGATGAGCTTATACCCGCTAGTATAATGAATTTATATAAGTGACTCAAGGGAGTCACTGTTCCCTTCTCTTTACGGACGCGAAACAGAGAGAACGAAGGAAAGAAAATGAAAATGGAGATTTTGATTAAAATTCTTCCAAAATTCATAACTTGAGCTAGAGACCTCAAAATCACTCTGTTCCAAAGCCAAACCTGTGAGAAATTTCGAGAGGAATCTATTGGTACCAGTATTTCTGAGTGGGGTTCATTGTAGAGACAGATCTTCTCCCCCAAAGAATTCGAATTTCATGGAAAATATGGGTTTTGATGGAGCTTGAAGCCATGGGAGCTTGAAGCAAGCTTCTCCCTTCATTCTAGGTAAGTTCATGTTAAGAAATCTTTGTTTTCTTTGAGTTTTGAGAAAGATTGAATATAGGTTTTCATTTTAAAAATTTGGATTGATTGAGCATGTTAGAGCTTAATTCAGGTTTAGCTCATGTTGAGAAAAGTGTTTAGATGAGAATTTTAACGGTGAAAATGTATTTTGGAAAATTAAAAATATCGTATTTTTGAATAGTGTCGTATACGTGAATAGTGACGCATACATGAATAGTATTGTAGAGATGAACAGTGTCATATATATCAATTAACGAATCTTGGATTAGAGGTGTGTGATAAGCTTGAATTTGATGGAGTAAAGCATTGAAATCATGAAGTTGGCATGATTTCCTTTATGTGCCTCTTAGCCATTTTCAAAGGAAGTATGTGCTATGAGTTACTGTTTTACAAAGCGAGCATACTTTTATGCGTGGAATGATATTCTAAGGTGTATGGACCTTCGCTTTGGTGAAATAAAAAAGAAAATAAGGTAGCTCATTTGTATGGCCTTAAAATGAGTTTTGGCCATTTTCAAATGAGGTATATGTTCGGAGATATTGTTTCGCAAAGTGAGGACACTTATATGCGTAAAATAATTTATATAGGTGGCTAAGCTTGGGTTTAGGCACTAGACAAAGAGAAATCTTATAGCTCCTTTGTAATGGGCATTCGGCCTTAAATTGGGAAAAATAGGCTTTTAGGTGCTAAGAGGAGTAATGAGTGTTCTAAAGGCCTTTTGGGACTATCCTAAGACTAAGTGAATATGTGGAATTTTGTGGGGATTTGTTGAACAAAGAACCACCCACTCATGACTTAATATGATTAAGTAAAAAGA